AATCTACCAGGACAGAACTGCTCTGATACCATTTGCAAGGAATTAGCTCTCAAATCAGTAAGCAAGCAAGCTAATTAGATAGAAAAGGATAGCTAAGAGGATAAGTTGTATTATCAAACTGATTGTTCAACAATACAATGCCTTCTTTCGAGAGGAAGGTGCTCTCCAACAAGTCAACAACAGACTTCTTAACTATATTCAACATGATGATTATTCCTCCTAATGAGGTCTATTTATAGAAAATACCCCTAACAAACCTCTAGCTTATTCCCCAAGTTACTACTAATAGACTATGACTAATGTGCCCTTCCCCTAAATATTGATTCCTTGCATTATTTCAACAAATTAGGATAATGAAAATACTTCTTAGAGATAAGATTAGATCAGTATGTCATGCTTTACGGGCATTGCTTTCCACGGATAACAAAAGTGACATAAACTTTTATAGAAATCCCAATTTAGCATATCATGGTAATGGAGTCCCAGATATCATGGTATAAACTTTACCCCTAATCCCAATGTAGATTTTAGAAATAGTGAGACTGCTTTAACATCTCTGAACGCTACTAAGTTAACAATATCCATCAAACCATGCATGCATATACATTATATGATCTGTAATTAAGGGAACAGATTCACTGCACTCAAAACATGGTTTATGATGTTTGTGTTGTTTCCATTATCATTATGATAAATATAGAATAATGTTTATGATATATATGGTTTATAATTATCAAGTTTTGATACCAGGCAATTGCTTTCCATCCTTAAGGGTTATAATTTTTATGATGGGTTTCCATAATATCCATTTTGACAATGCCATGATGCGATAAAGTTGTATATGGATACCACCAAACGAAGAAAAGAAGAAAAATATATACGAGTAAGACAAATAACCTCATAGATCATGTTATTTGGATCTATATTGTCATATGCCATTTAGCCTGCTTTGAAGAATTTATAGTCAAGTGAAAACATCCAAGCTTCATAATTTCAAAAGGTATTATTAATTATATGTAGTTAGATTATCTACAATGATGCTTAGAACAGTAGCTCGAAGTTATTTCAATAAATCCTTAAGGAGAAAGGCTCAAGAGCTTTTTAAGGAAATCAAAGGAGACAAAATGCTTTTTAAACTTCTATATAACTTCTTGACAAGTATATTTGATGCAATACGTTTCTGCTCACAGCATTACATACCAGTCTTTCTAGCTAATTATTCTCGTTTGTCCAACTCAAAAACGTTTCTTCTGTTTGTGTTCCCTTATTGCAGATAAGGCAGTTTTAAAAGCAACTACCAAAGGAATATGCAAATAAAGCAACTATCTACATTGTCAGATTTCTCAATCACAATGGAAATTGCATATCAGCACTTATAAGCTATAACTATTGCTAGCTCATGCTCTTCACCACATCTCTTAATTTCTTTTTCCGGGTATGCTAGTCATTTGAGGTTGAGAATAAGAAGCATGATTTGTTGAGAGTTATACAAGAAACTGAAAGGGGGCTCAAAACACCGCCAGGCCAACAATCTTTGATTGAAGAGGCCTTAGTATGTATATACTTTTACTTGGACTTAGTCAAACATTGATGTCTTTCAATATTGTATTTTGCATGGTTAAAATTGAAGTAATTGATTAGTTTGTCAAGCATATTTCATAGAATTAAATAAGATGAATAGTGTGGTGAGTAAATGGTTATACGATGTCAGTTTATATTCAGGTGAGTGCAGAGGGATATGATGCTGGTGAGCCAATTGATTTAGAAAAACTGGATGGTACATGGCGTCTTCAGTATAACTCTGCTTCTGATAATAGAATGTTTTATGCCGCCAATCCTTGAATTATCTTATCTTTAGCAAAATAACAATTTTACCTAACTCCCTCCCTCTCCATATCTTCATAACTTTCAGAAAGCAACTCAGTAAAACCCCAAACATCCACCCAGAACAATCTACGCCCAAACTCAAACATCCAAAACCCTAAACAACAATGAAGAAGAAGACCCAAGCCCAGCGCACCTCAAACATCCAAATAGCAACCAAAGCAACAAAAAAAAGAAAAACAATTGTAAATGAAAGATGACCTGTAAAAACAACAAAACAATGACCCTGAAGAAAAACACTATCAAGATGCAAAAAAAAAAAAGAGAGAAATGAGCAAAAACCAGGAAAATCACAAGAGAAGGGCATAAAGACAAAACCTTTTTAGACCCATCTTGGTTAGGGTTTAGGGTTCACGCATGAGGCTCCAACCACCGCATAAACAGTTCTGACCACTGCCACCACCGTTACCGGAAAAAAAAATGGAGAACATTAACAAAATGCAAATAAGCCACAAGAAAAAGAATAACCGCAATTGAACCCACAACAACAGAAAAAAGAGAAGCAGGAAACATTACCAAGCATCAAAAGCTAGCACTCGCCGCATCGAAAAACCGTGATTTGCTCTTGACAGAAAATTGAGAAGTAAATTCAGTGGGGGATATAGGTAGCCGGAAAAGGAGTGAGAAATGAAGGGAGGAGAGATAGGTAGCAGTAGAAGATGAGAGAGAAACGGAGAGAGGGGAGGTAGGAGCATGCAAAGAGGAGAGAGAAACAAAGGAAAAGAAGGGGAAAGGCAACGGTGTAATAAGGTAGAAGCAGCAAGGGCAAAAAAGGAACAACACTGTAGACATCAACAATTTAAACCCCCTATTGGCTTTTTTTTTTTTTTTTTTTTTTTTGATAGGGATAGATGATTTCATTCACACAATAGCCATCTCGGCATCTACATCATCATTTGAACATAACTGAAGCAGAAACTACACCCACAACACCTAAACTTGTTTCTATTCACGCTCATCTCCATTAAGGTGGTTCCAATCTTGAAACCATGTGAATTCTTCGATGTCATTGCATCTTTCAATAATTCCTTCACCAACGGCGCTGTAGATATTATGGAGTAAGCAACTGCACTACAGATTAGATCTTCTTGAGTCAAACTCATCTTCCCCAACACAACAACCATGAATACCAAACCCACCAAATGAACCAAAACTGAGATCAGGCGGAAACCCACAGTCGAAGCCCTTGGGTCCTTAGTCGGAAACTGCTCTATAAAGCCAGCCCCGTAGGTCCACTCATGGACGACCCGTCTTAAAACATTTGCCGCAGGAAGCGCTCGAACAACAGAGGAAGCAATGGTGGGTGGCTCCATAACTGACCCAAAATGAAAATTATTTATGAACAACTCAGAGATCATCAACTGGGTCTTATTCACCAAACAAAGATTAAACATTGAAAGAAGCATAAAATTAAAAGGACGAACATCCCCAAAAACACGAGTTGTAAAACTCGGTCAGAAGCCAGCGAAATCCAAACAAGCACCAGATCAGACTTAAGGATAACGGCACAAACCTAACCCGTTGCAAAAACCGGCAACCTTAAAACCAATCAACCAAGTCTAGACCTTGACTCGCACGAAACGGATGGATTCAGATCGCGCTTCTTCCGGCCGACAATAAACCGACGTTGATGAGGCCTAGGGTGGGTGACTCACTGGCGCACAAGGAAGGGCTATAACCCGACCTCGGCCGGCGAGCCCCCCCGATAAAACCAGCAGCAGTGAGAGAAAAGGACAGGGAAGGTGGGCGGGAGAAGTAAAGGGCGACAATTGATGAAAAGGCAGAACCAAGAAATGGATTAGGAAGTGGAGAGAAGAGGAAGAGAGAAAAGAGCCCACCCTAAAGGCAAGAAGCTTCGAATCAGAAGCACAAAACCCCTTCCAAGAGAGAAACCCTAGAAGGAACTTCTCTCTCTAGAATAGAGAGGCAGCACATTGAGAAACGCCCCCTATTGGCTTTTATAGTAGTAAAGATAAAGGTAAAGATGTCTTCACTTTTCAAATTTTCCGAGGGACAATTTCCTTATACTTAAATATCTCTATATAATGAGGTGAATTCAACGAGATACTAATTGTTATAGTATTTTTCTTTGTATAAATAATTGTTGCTAGTCAAAGTGAAATTGATTAATAATACTCTTTCAATCATTTAAACAAGTGAACATTTGTGTTTTTCCATTATGTAGTTTCTTATTTGATTCTTTTTTTTTTTTTTTTTTTTTTGACGAGGAAGAAACATTATCATTAATAATAAGCCATACGGCATCTCTACAATAATAACACAAATCTACAAACAATAGAATTAGAGAAAATACACAACTCTTACGGTCAAAACAATTACTAATAAGCCTTCTAAAGCACAACTCATACCCCACTGCTTCAGTCTTGACGTAGGCAGTAATTTTCGATGTCTTTGCATCGATGCAGGTATTCAATTGATGTCTTTACAGCTTTCAAAAATTCCTTCGCAAAATGAGCACAAATTCTTCTGAGCGAAAAGTTGATGAAAAACCCCAATTCTAAATGAATCCAGAGCATTTCCCAATTATTAAAACCCTAAAAAGAAAAGAAAAACTCTTCCATAGATGAAACAACAAGACCTTGAATATAGGAGGAACCCTAATAATAGGGACCAACCCAATCAAATTATTGGGACCAAAACACATTAAAAACACACACACACCAAAAAAAAAAAAAAAAAAAAAAAGATAGAAGAAAAGCGGCGGAAATAGACTATTTCTGCCTTAAAAAGGCTATGAAATTGGAACCCTAGGAGAGAATAAAGAACAGAGAAAGGAGGGAGAGAGAGGGGGCGGCTAAGTTGTTTGATTCATTTTCAATGAGATATATTATTCATCATATTCTAATTTTTAATGTGATGCAACTAAATACATAAATAACACAAAAAATATCTTCCAAGAAGTTACCTTTCTTGACTGAAAAGAGTAAAGAGGGTACATCGGAGCTGAGACAGAGACTTCCCACTGCACCTTCCACTACTTCATCGGCATTTTCTTCTTACCTTTTACTTTCTTCCTGAACTGTAAGAAATGTCAGTAGTAACAAAGAACTGAGTTAGATAAAATCTGAAAGAAGACAGAAGTAAGTCCAAAAGCATCAACAATAGAACATGAATAAAACAAATGTTAGTCTAAAACAATCCATCACAGGATTCTCTACTCTAGTCTGCCTTATAAAAACATTATCCCTAGTTGCATGAAGCAAGATCCTTTCAAATGCCATAGATTTCTCTATGGGTACCAAGCCTGCAAAGAACCCCCAGCTACACAGACTTTGATGGATCAATCGACTTGTCCTAAACACATATTAATTGAAATTTATGAAAAGGTATAAAAAAGGATAGAAGACATGAAAAGTACAACGCATATGACCAAATTAAGTATTCTCTGCATTTTGTTGTTCCAGTTCTCCATACTAAAAAGGCGCACTTCTTTGAGCTGGATAGAAGAATTCTCCAACCTGACGGACATATAAAAACACATAAGTTTCGATATTTGACCTAACCAATATAATTAACATATGAATAGTGATACAAATTAATTTACCTTGTTCCAAAAATAAAGGTGTGTCCAACGACTCTTCATTTTGCTAGAAGCCGCGCTACTTTGAGCTGAATGTAAGAAATCTCCAGCCTGAAGGATAAAAGAAACACACAAATTGACTTAACCAATAAAAATAACACAAGAATAATGATCCAGACTATGTATCCTGATCCTGCAAATTAAATAATTAACATTTTCCAGAAGTTTGCTGCAAAGGATAATAAGATGATGATGATAATACTAGTTTCATTTATCAGATAATCAAGTCTCTTATACTAAAGTCTAACCCCTTGAACTACTTCCTTTTAGATCTACAGACTACAGGATTAATAGACGTTATGTTGTTTGGCTTCAATTTGATCATCACAGTAACACACATGATCCTGCCACTTTAACCACTACACTCATATTTTGGTACTTAATCTATTTTATAAGAAAAAATAAATATAAAAAACCTTATATAAGAACGAGCTAATAGAATCATGATTAACTTACCTCCTGTAGTTTATACTTAGAAAGCTCCTTATAAGTGCACTATAACTTATCATTGCTTAAATTCATCTCAGAAATCACAATGAACAGCTTCTAGCTCGCGCAAGTTTCAACTAAGAACAAAATCAAACCCGCTAGTAGCTCAATTAGCAAAGCTTGTAATATTCCCTTCAAACACAAATGCTACAAGTATTCAAGAGAAGAGTAGAGCCATAAAAATGAATAAGAAGAAAGAAGGTTTCCCAAAATACCTCCAGATAATCCACTTTGATTTCAATATTCCAAGAGAAAGACTTGGTGGAGTCAAAACTTGTTTCTTGAAATATCGCAATCTAAGAGCCATCTCCGCACATCTTTTAATCTGTAGAAAAGAATCACCAAATCCAATCAATCAACATGCAGAAACACTACAATGAAAGTAACACACTTAGATATATTTATTCACCTGGAGCAGTTGGTTCACCAGTTGCCTTTCTGACCAAAGTCCAATAAAAAGACAGAAAGTATTCCCTTCAGCGAACCCGCTTGTAGCTCAATCAGCAAAGCTTGTTATATTCCCTAATACCTCCAGATAATCCACTTCAATTTCATTCCGAATGAAAGACTCAATTTAGTGTTTTGCCCATCTGTTGCAAGCAGCAGGCTGCTGATAAAGAATAAGCTACTGGGAGCATACTATCTGATCTGAAGGAGAACTTATACTTAGCAGCGATGATCTGAATCAGGTGTAAAGTCTGTGGACAGTGAAGAAGAGAGTGTTTCATCCAAGTGAGTTTCACAGCAACTGGACAATGGAACCACCTACTGATTCATTCCTTGGAACACATTGGATCGTCCAGGACTGATAGAGGGCGGCAGAAGACATATAAGAACTCATTCTAGCCAGCACCGGCCAAGAAATTAAATCATGTGCATACTATACACCAGCACACCTGTGTGGAATTGTTCTGTGTCGCTCTACTTACTAGTTACTAATGCCTCCATTTTGGCCTTCTTGAAATGAGAAAAGCAGTAAAATACATTAAGACATCAATCTAATCTCCAATTCCCACATACATTAAATTGTTGAGTACAAAGTGATCAGTAACAACAAATGGGGGAAGAGAAGTACAAATAACTTACATGATGATGTCAATCAAGTCTACATCAAATTGTAAACATTAGGTCCAAGCGACCTGAACAACAATTTTTTAATTTTTTTTTGGGGGGAGGGGGGGGGGGGGGGGGGGGGGGGGAAGGGGGTGAATAATATTTAACTTAAACAGCAACGTCAAATTTGTTGAGTCTCCATATCCACATGCATGTATCCATCGAACTACACAACACTTGCACTTCATTTCTTCAAAGTGATCGCCGTTCCACGTACAACTAGAGATTCTTCAGTGATAGCAAGCTGTTTACGTGAAGATGTGGGAAGTCAAAATATCTTCGCCACCTAGGGGGAGGTGACCAAACACTTCCCGTCTTCCAATTATAACAAACCAACGCAAAGGACATGCTATGCTTGGTTTCCACAAAGCCAAAAAACCAAAACTCCCCAGTTTTCAAGCTCATATAAAGAGGTATAGCGACTCCAAACTTTGAGGGATTGAAATGTCTCTGAAGCGCCAAATACATACCAGCTGCATCGAAATTCATACATCTACCCCAAGGGCCAGTTTTTGGTCCTATCATTTCCCAGACTTTCCAAAACTTACTAGGGTTTTGCCAATATATTATACCTGCACCACCGGTGTCCATTGGTATACAGTAAGTCTTCACCTTGCTGTTGATAACGCTATCTTCTGGCGCTTCGAATTGATACATGGTTTCAGCATCTATATCCAAGGCAAAACCAAGAGAGTGACATATATCAAACCAATAGACATACCCCGCTGCAATAGAAAACGGATGACTCAGTAGTGTCTGCTTTGCCTTGTTACTCATAGTAATGCCTTGACAGTCAATGTCAATAGCCCTCCAAGTTTCATCAACAGCTACTGTCCATACCATAACCTTAACTTCAAATCTGGCAAGATGATCATCATTTTTTTCACGTTGACGATATGGTGAACGTGGATATTTGGGGACGAAACAAGGACAAAAGACTTTGTATCGACCAGAAGAAGGTGCAAATGCTAGAACAGCAGAAGGTTTACGATAAATGCATACCTTTGGCAGGGTGAGGGACAGGGGAGGGAGACTGATGTTGGCTTTAGTTACAAGATTCACTACAGACAATTCTTTTGGAATGAAGGCATTTTGAAGCAAGAGTAGTCCGTTACAAGAAGCCAAAATGAAGGCCTCAAATGGAAGCTTAAGTATACTGACAACACGATCATATGGGTGAACATAATAGGCCTGTTTTAGCTTAGCATCATCCAGGTCATTGTCTTGAATAAGGAAACCAGTAGTAGCAGGAGATGACATGGACTGAAGAAGGTGGGCTCTAATAAAGTGCGGGTCAGAGATTATAGCATTCCACTCCTTGCAAACGAACCTCACAATCTCCTGAAGAAGTGAAGCACGAAGAAATAAAAAGATGTGAAACATAATTTCTCTGGGAATAGACCAAGACCAACTCGGCCTCTTGCTGCAAGGAGCAAGTGTTGGATATTTTCCTGAAACCTGAAAATTTTGATAAATTCACCCATTCAATCATCGATTCGTTCTATGATATAATGTTAGTTTAATTACATTACATGGTTGGATATGGTGGTTGTATATTGCCGTTGCCACATACTCATATGCATGCCTAGTTTCATATTGTGTTATAATTTTACTTTTTAATAATATTAGGATTAATACTCATATGCGGCCTAAATTCACCAGGATATATGAACAATTTAGGCCCCTCCTGCCCGGCCTCAGGGACGGGCCTGTAGATGCTTTTGCTAATATTAATTCAATTGTTCTAGAACCACCCAGTTGAAGCTAAATATTAATCATGTGATTCAGTAGCTTATTGTTATAATACAAAAAGTCAAGATATTCCCATACAATTGAAATCAACCTTGATATTACTTTTATTCTTAAATACAAAAAGAACTCAAATTGAGCAGATAATGTTTATAAAAGAAAGCACTTTCCATTTTGCCAAAGTATTCATTGTGCATCCAAAACAAACCCAAAATTGATCAACATGAATAACAATAAACATGCCAAAAAATACAGATATTCCAAAACACCATTAACATGATACATACCTCCAAAGCCCCAGACCCGGTGGCGCGTTCATTCCCACCGTTAACAAGACGGCCAACAAACACCTGACCAAACCCACCTTTCTTCCTTTCTACTTTATAAATAGGAAAAGCACCCACTTGAACCTACAAAAACAACAGCAAAACCAAAAACATCGATCAAAAAATCACACCATCATTCATATAAAATCGACTCGATTCACAAATTCAATTCAAATCAACATATATCAATCAAAAAACCACAAAATCATTATTCAAAATCAACTCATTTAACAAAATCAAATGAAATTCGTTTTAAAAAAGATTACCCTTTCAGGAAAAGGGGATTTATTTCCATCATCATCATGTCCAGTTCCCTTATTATTAGCACTTAAACCACCACTATCATCTCCCAACATTTCTTCTCTGACTTCTGATTCTCTCTCGTTTAACTCACTTTCCTTCTCCGATATCACAACCACTGGTACAACCTTATCAACAACCTTCTTCTTCTTTCCACTATTATTCTTAGTATTATTGATTACCCTTTTGTTGTTGTTTGTTGTTTGTTCCTTAAATTTGCCCTTTTTCACAGCTAACCTAGTTCTCGGAGGATCCTTAACAACTTTTTCTCTCTCCTCTTCAACAACACCAACTACTGCTACTGCTTCTGCTTCTCTCGCAACAGCTGCGCGAGTTCGAATGTAGTTACCAACCAAATGAGTCGATTTCTTCTGATTATTATCAACGATATTCTTCTGCTTCTTATTCGTCGTCGTTTTGACTGAATTTCCACGTTGAAGCTCTGGCATTTTCGTCTTCCCATACAATCGAAATTTTTGTGATTCTGTGTTTTCGCTAGTGTTACCCATCATTCGATCTATTACCTCAAATTTGAATAGGATTCCGATTGCTTTTTTTTTTGAGTTCGATTCGAAATTTCGATTGAAAAACGAAAATGTAGGGTTTTGAAGAGTGATTTGGGGGAAAAGAAGTTTCGAATTGGAATTGGAATCGGAATTTGGGAGATTTAATGAAAGGGTGAGTTTTTGCTAATTAGGGTTTGTACTTTGTAAGTTCGAGTGTGTACGATGATGAGAGAGAACGGAGATGAAGTCTGATTTTTCTTTTTTCTTTAATTATTATATACTACCTCCGGTTCATTTTACTTGCAACAATTTTCATTTTGGGTGGTTCAAATTACCTACAACAAATTTTTTGTTTTCCCTTATTTGGTAACTTTTGGGTTGTAAAATGACATATATGCCCTTACTTTTTTCCTAATCTATCTTATTAACACTCCTAATTTCATTTGCTTAGGGTTTGTTTGGCATCATTTTTAGTTTTCAGTTTCCTGTTTTTTTTTTAAACTAAAAACCAAAAACAGGAAATAAGAAAAAGGTGTTTCCACTTTTCTGTTGTCAGTTTTCAAAATTATCATGATTTTAATAAGTCTAAATATTTTTTGATTCATTATGTGACATATATAATATACTTTTAAAATACAAAAAAACCAAAAAAACAGAAAACCACAGCGATGCCAAACGAACCCTTAGTTTTATGTTTTAATTAATTAACCTAACTATTCCCACCAAATTTACCCATTCTCCTTTAAATTCCTTCATCACTCAACTACCTTCATTGAATCTGCATTCAATTTAGATTAAAAATGGTTGAGTCAATTAAATTCTGGAATTTTTTTCCAGAAACCCCACCTCCCCAAACCCTACCTTTTTAAATTTGTCACTCTCTTACTCTCTCTCCTCTTCGCCTCCTCTTTCTCCTCAAAAATTCTGGGTTTTTTCCTCTTTCTCTCTCTTCGTTTTCTAGGTTTTCAACTACGATTCACCTTAATTCACCCTTAAAATGTCTTCTTCTCAACCAAAAATTATAGATCTGGTAAGCCATGAGTCCCTTTCTTCTGGATCCACACGATCCCCACCTAAACCTGGTGCTACCACGTGTATACCTCGTCGTGGTTCTGGTGTGATGAAGCCACTCCGTCGTGCTTCTGTAATTGCTCGTAGAAAGATTGTAGGGGCGAAGCTTGCTGAATACATCTCAAGCGACGAGGATGAGAAGCCGACAAAGTGTTCTGGGTCTAAAAGGCCTGTTCCGCCATCTCTCGGCCTAGATCGGGAGGTTGTTTCCACCAAAGAGGGTGGATCTGCTGCTGTGGTGGCTGTTCCAGCTGCTTCACCACCACTAGACGCCAATTCTGAAACTTGGTCTTCTTTGTTCCAGGAGCTGACTGCTGGGGAAGTCCTTCAGCCACCGGTTCCCATCCCATGATGGGTGGGAGTACGTCTGGCCCTAGCGCTGGTACTAAGCGCCTGAGATCCGGCTTACCAAGGGGACAGGATCCAGATGACGTACTGGTGGCTTACCTCCAAATCTACTACCCCCAGTAGTCCCTTCCCCCATACTAATTGGGCAGCGTAATTTCTAATACCCTAATCTTCTTCTTTTGTTCCAATTTGTGGTTAATTATGCTATTGATGAGACCCTTGTTTTTTGTTATGCTATTTCTGCTAGTGTTGGTTGTTTGGGTATGAATTGATGAGTCCCCTGTTATGTTTGGATTTGTTGTTTGGGTATGAATTGTTGGTTGTTTGGGTATGAATTGTTGTTTGGATATGAATTGGTCTATTGGTTGACTTGATTAGTTGTGCTGGTGCGTTGGTGGAATGCTGGTATGATTTTGTTGACGAGTCCCCTTTGTGTGATGCATTGAGTCCCCTCCACACAACTTGCATCGTATTGAAACCCATCCAAATGATGAAGGGACTCATCTGATAGCTATTTGAGTGTCATGGCTGCTCTAGTTACCTCTGTTTGAGGTTTCTATTGAGGTACCATAACTCATTGATGCCTTGAAAGATAACTGTAACCCTTTCTGATGGATGATTAGTGAGAAAAAAAGGTTATGTTTGCATTAATAACAAAAGGTTGTGTTTTTTACAAAACCAAACTTAAGTAGCATACAAGACTGTCTAAGAATGTGTAACTTAATTATGTACCAAAATACACCTAACCAATACCAACAAAAACAACAAAAAAACATGTTAAGATTGTACTGGTTATGTGTGGCAGTCTTTGCCTTAGCTGGTATGAGTTTGCTTCCATGTATTCTTCAATCTGCATCAACTTCCATTTGGAATTCATTTGCACCAGTACTTGGGATTGTGATTGAATTAAGATAGTTAACAACTTCTGCAATTAGTTCCTTGTCTACCTCTAGCAAATCTGGTAGAATACCTTGCCTGTATAGACTTCTTTTTTTCATGTGTGATGGTGTGTAGTTGTTTCCTCCTTTTCTTGTTAATACCTCAATCATGCATGACTGTAGTGTAATCCAACTGTATTTGTTCAACTCTGGATCAAATCCTTTGAATGCTATTTCAACTTCTTTGATAAGATCATCTAAATTCTGAGGGAATGACTGATACTGCAGTGATTGAATGACATTGAAGAGTCCTTAGTCTAGAACATTCATATCTGGTGATTGAGCTGGTTGAAAAACAAACTGTATGTTGAATCCATATGCTTGACATGCTACTTGAAATTCTGGATCTTGTGGTATTTGGTGAGGCCTAGCATTGTCCCATTGAATAGTTATGTCCTTGGGCAGCTGTGGGGGCCATTGTGCATGTATTGTGGGCAACACATGATTAACTAGCATGTCCCTTATTTCCTCCTTGTTTATACTCTGGATTGCCTTAGCCTCTATGGTCCCCTGGCTTTGTCTCTGTTTTTACTCTTTTTCTTTGCTTCCTCATACTTCATAAAAGGGAATAGACCATACTTCCCATCATGTAAAAGTTGTTTATTTGCATCATACAATGGTTTCCCTATCATGCCCATAAACATAGCCTTCACCTTAAACCTTCTGGACTGTTGTGCTCTGTATGGATTGTCTTCTGTTGGAAGAAGATAGAATGTCCTTGTTTCTGGGTTTATAAAAAACCACTTCTCATCAATGTGTATCCATTGTTGCATGTCTTCAAATGAAGGGTCCCCTTCAGCTGGAATTGGAGTGATGTGACTAAGAACCCATTTTAGTCTTGCTATTTTATGATTAACATCACAAAATAGCAAGACTAAAATATTTGCTAAGAAATTAACATCACAAGATAATATGGCATTCGAATCCCCCTTGTAACATCACTCCTTTTTTTTGGGGGGTGTTTTATTTCAACCATACCACTCGACTACTCCCTTATTCCTATTTCCCAACCAAACCCAAATTACTTGTATTGTGTACCCGTTTTTTTTAAATAGGTTGATGTTAGTTGAATTATCGAAATTGTCCCCCCATTGTCAAATTTCTAGGTCCACCACTGTCCTCTTGGTCTGCAATTCCCACGCACCAAACTCCATAGTTTTTCTTGTTTAAAATTAGGAAAATTTTCAAAAAACCACCCAAAAATGTGTTGAATTTCTAACTAACCACCCAAAAAAAAATTTATTTTAAAATACCACCCATTAAATTAATTTTTTGCTCAGATTCCCACCCAATTTGAAAATCCGGTGGTTTTTTTAGCTTAAGGGGCCCAGTTTAGTTATTTCCCTCTTTTTTTTTTCCCTTTTCTCTCGACTTCACTGTCTTTCACTCTCTTTCTCATTCAATTCTCCCAACTAACCCTATTCTACAATCAAATTTCACTCCTTTTTTCAGCGAATTCCCCCTTTCTTCATAAATTGCTGTGCATTGTTCAATTCAGAACCCTAAATTCGACATTAAAACCCTAATTGTACTTGCAACAGGAATTAATCTAGAGTAATTGCTTGAAGTGGGGTTGTTTAATTGCAAAAAAGTCGCCATCTTTTGCTGTTTACCGGGGACCAGGAGCTCAGGTGAGGAACCTGACAATAGCTCAGTGCAATGGCGTCGAAAGAGGTAAGCAATTTTGTTGTTTGTGTTTAATGTTGAAGGTTGTTGGTTGTTGATGGTATATTTGCAATTATGTGGAACCCTAATTAATGAATCCCACAAATTCCCCCAATTAACATTTTGCAAGAACCCTAATTTTTCCAGATAATTGAGATTACCTTGTGCGAATTCAAGTGATGTCGTTGCTGCAGATGCAAATGCAATTAGAAGCAATCTTAATTTTGTGTAATTTGGGGAAAAATTTTGTTTAGGAGCAAAAATTGAATAAGGAATACACTTGTATAGGAAAAATCGGGGGAAGAAAATAAATAAAAGCATACACTAGCCGTTAATAGCCGTTATGTGGGCCCCACAAGCTAAAAAACCACCGGATTTTCAAATTGGGTGGGAATCTGAGCAAAAAATTAATTTAATGGGTGGTATTTTAAAATAAATTATTTTTGGGTGGTTAGTTAGAAATTCAACACATTTTTGGGTTGTTTTTTGAAAATTTTCCTTAAAATTATACTGATTTTCATTCGACCATTTTTGCCATTGTTATGCAGTGTTTCTTCTTTGGCTTCCTTCATGTCTAATCCGCTGAAGTAAGCTGTTTTTAGAAGGGAATTTGTTTATGGTTTTACACTTCTATTTAGTACTGATGAGCTGGTGCCAAATATCTTGCATTATGCCATTATGGACACCCAGATGTTTTCGATAATATAACACGTGATGGTATAAGCAAGGCTTCTCGTGTTATAAATATCAGTGAAGATATATTCTCAGGTAGGTTTTCTAACAAGATTAGATACATTCAAAGATTTCAAACCCTTATCAGGAGTTGTACTTTATGAATCACTAGTTATACTAGTCTATTAGGTTAGGTTTATGTTATTTTTAAGGGTCTCTTACTAATAGCATACTTTTGGTCCATGTGTTTTGTTAAATAACTAGGGTTTGAATTTCAAACATGTAACTTAATTAATTTTTATATACTCTTAAGACCTGTACCTTCAAAATTTCAAACTCATCATTTGTGTGTGTGATTTGTTCATTAATCAAGGTTTAAAATTCAAATTTGTATATTATCATATACCTTGTACTTTTAGGACGTGTACATTATAGATATAAGAAATGAACTCCTGAATTGTACCAAAATTTGTAATTTATAATTTTATTTATTTATTTATTTATTTATTTATTATTATTATTATTATTATTATTATTATAATTTTGACACATTTACAGAACTACCTTATAATTGTTTGGTATACTTTTAAGATATATATTTTAATTTTATAGTTATGTGTGTGTGTGTGGTGGGACCCTTCCCCGGACCCTCACCTCGCGGGGATGCCAATGTGCACCGGGCTGCCCTTTTGTGTGTGTGTGTGTGTATAATTTGTTTCATAATCAAGGTTCAAAATTTCAAACTTGTACCTTACAACTTTATGATATGTACTTTATAAATTTAATTTTAGTTTATGACATGTAAATTGCAGCTCTATGGTATGTATGCATCTTATGTGGTTTCTATTGGCCTCTTTACTTATTTTGGCTTAGTACTCACTTTTCATGAATCTCCAACTGTCATTCTAATGTTCCATGTCAGATGACCTTTTGCCCTTTCCTCATTGAACTTCTACTGTCAAGTTGTGCAGCAACCTGCTGTTACTGAGTTATCTTTTTCCTTTCATTTTTCTGCAGTTGACGGTGCTGACAGTGTACATCTTTCTTTATCTGGTAGGTTGACAATTCTACTAGTGTCAATACCACATTTACCTGGCAGATATATCATGCTGTGTGTGACTGGCTGGATTTTATATTATAGTGTTTTTATATTAATTTTAAATAATACTTTTGATGGTTTTGTATTTACTTAGGCAACTTTATTTATATCATTTGTCATTATGACATGAATTGTTTTTTTAAAGCTTGAGATGAGGTTATTGATCTAGAAATTTCTTCACTCTTAAGATGGCATTTATAGAAAAACATTATTGTTAGAAAAACAGTATCAAGCAACTGGGAGGGGTTTTGTTGTCCGGCATATAAAGTTGAGCGAAAACTACAGGCTTTATTCCCGGAGTCATTTTGTCAAAGGGTATATCCTTTTCTCCTTGTCATGTTGCTCGTATAGTGTCTTGAACAGTCTTTGAGCTGTATGGCTTTCTCATTGCAGGCTTGAAGTTGTGCTTTTGTTGATTGTTTTTCTTGCTTATGGCTATAATGATGGTGGTGCGATAGGCTACATTCTGCTTTCTATCAGCAGTTGGTTTATGGCCCTCTCTTGGCTATTTGCTCCCTACCTGTTCAATCCATCCGGTTTCGAGTGGCAAAAGTAAGTTGGGGGGTTTGTGACTTAAAAGCTATCTAGCTTTTGTGGACATCAACAACTTTGCTTAATTTAATTATACTAATTCATGTTTCCATTTGTTATGTCTAGGACTGTGGAAGACTTCAGTGATTGGACAGATTGGCTTCTTTATAGAGGTGGAATTGGTGTTAAGGGTGAGGAGAGTTGGGAAGCGTGGTGGGAAGAAGAATTGGTGATTTCTCTACATCTCTAAACTTGCCAAACTACTATTTCTTAAGCTGTATCATCTTAACTGTATACTTTGGCACCTAAACCCCTTTCCAATGGTGTCCATGTCAATTTTGCATAATAATTGAGTCCATGATGGTTAATTTCAATTTAAGCAGAATTCAGGGAGCATAGTGGCAGCCTGAAAGCAACTGATCCATTCTTCAGTACAGGTTGAAAAGTTTGTATGTAGGTTGTTTAGTCTTGAAGCTAGTTGATACGCCAGATATAGAATAATAGATCCAAAAGGTTGAACAAAGACATCTACCATATACCATCAGACCATCACCAATTCACCACCCACCAGGCCACCACTTCCACCTCAAACTGAAGCATGGAGAATGGAACATAAAGCAAAGAAAGCTTAGTATGAACCTGAGAGATAGCATCATAACGAGCGATTCCCCAAGCAGCTTCCTTAACTGCCAAAGCAAAAGGTTCACATGGAATACGCCTACATTATTGCATCCAAACAAGCATAAGTCATTTGCAGAACAAGAAAAGTTGCATAATAAGAGAAATATCATATTCTTAATCAGAAAGACGTTTCAGGACATGTAAATGAAGATTTAATATCGCCAACCATTAATCTCATGGAGGCATAGGTCTAGTGGATCTGAGATGGCTTACCATTTTGCAAATCGAGCACCCTGATTATAATACTCAGCAGACCTTGAAGCCAGGCCATCTAACCCTTGGCACCAAGATTCATTGTTTGAGCCTGGCAGAGGAACCAACATCTGCAATGCAAAGAGTGAGGACATAAAATGAGGTCATTGATCAGTATTTACAAGTAACAATCGAATGTGGAAGACGTTCAAACTGTCATACCTTGTCGACCTTGATGACAGGCACGACATTCTCATCAAGTAAGCAGTCGACAATTTCTTGCCATCCGTTGTAGACTGGTAGAGTGTTTCCTCAAACAGAATGACACTAGAAATGTGTTCGCCAAGACCAGGAGTTGTCAGTAAGAGCTGCCTATACATCTGACGATTGTTCTCAGTGTTATCTAAGCCAATTGATGCCAGTCTCTTCCCACAAGTTGCATTCGATTCATCAATGGCAAGAATGCCACGTGCAGGAGAAGCAATAGATTTCTGCGAAGTTAAAATTCAGTATTTAAACATTAAACATGTAGAAGTATACTTGATCATGGAACATGATTAACTATCACATTGTCGATACAATAAAAACTTATGCAACATATATAGGGGATGTATACATCTAGGTGCAACTCTCAAGATCAAATATCACCATCAAATTGATGATACAAGTAAAAAAAAAAAGATATACTTGGTATGTCAGTACTCGAGATCACAAGCACCACCACATATAACCAAACCTAACATAAAGTAACCTTTTAAAGGGGGAGGATCATGCTGTCTAATTCAATAAATGTATAATTCGTTTATTCGTTATCCCCACACCCCGGAAATCACAATCACGAGCATATTGGCTTGTGGTACATTGTATAGTAGTACATTTTTGAACTGCCTTAGGGAATCAAATTTCAGAATCCAAAATTCCAATACCCATTCCGAGCACCAAAACTTATGGTCTGGTGTTCCAAGTGACATTCAACAACCAAACATAGGGACAATAATCTAGACTAGTACTAAAATTCCAGAGTAAGTTTAACAGAACACTGCTATTCAATTGAACCTAAGCTAATTTTGACTAGTATTATATACTCCCTCTACTCCTTGTTGTTCCCGTTTAGATTTGGTCACAAGATTTCAAACAGGAACAACTTTTGGGAACAAAGGGAGTACTTGCGATTGCTACAAGCCATTGCAATACAAATTCACAGTTTCTAATTCAGGCAGTTTTAGTTGGCTAACCAATTAGATATCAGCTACACTAACAGAAAACAATCAAAACAAGATAAACTGCAATTCTTAATGTTTATTTCTTTTTACAATATGATCAAAAGCTTTCATTAAATGAATCCAATTTTCAGGACCAAATTTCCTATATTCTGTCACATCCACCATTCATATCTTATATCTTCTATTAAAGATATAGAACAACTTAGACAAATGATCAGTCCAAAATACAACAAAAGTGAAAAACCAAACCATCAAGCTTAAGAAAACAAGCAACAAATGAGATAAAAGCATAGACAACATACAGCAGTGCTAACAAGCTCATCTTAGCTTAGTTAAGTATAGGGAATAAGAAAAAGGCAGAAGAATTTTTGAGAAACTAGTTGCACGCCACGCGATGCGCACCGCGTTTCAACGTCGTTATGCTTAAATGTAATATGATTTTTTAGTAATCGCTCCGTTAGGATGATTATGAGAGAATTAAAGATGATCCTGAATACATAAGCATATAATATGAAGGAGATAGTGATTGTGTAAGGCTAATTATAATTGTGTCATAATATGAATTTGCAAGCAGGATAATAAGATATAGCATGTAGGTAGCATAACAAGTAGCATAAAGATGCTAATATGTCTTTGTGTCACGGTCCGGGAGTTTGGACCCCAAAACGTGCGGCGCGCTCTAGCCTTTTGGCGGCAAGAACGCTAGCCTTGAGCGGAAGAGGGGCTTGTGAGCACAAAGCAACACAAGCGGGCAATAGAATCTCAGGAGCACTCACGTCTATCTGGGCGACGGAGTGCGGGTGGTCGGGGCTTGTGACGGCCGATACTTCAAAGCGGGCACAAGCGGGTCCGAACCACGAGTCCTTAGCGCATCAAGTTGGGTTGGAGGGGAGCTAATATGCAAGTAAGACACAATATCTATAAAGGTCTAACAACAAACAAGCATAAAAGCAAGGCAACACTTGGTAGAAGGCTTTAAGATTTCATTAATCATTCGCCCTCTAAAGAGCTTTAAATGACATACAAAGAGAATCCCTAGTGAACACTGATCTGACAGTAACACAATAATGGGACCTCAAGCAAAGAAAACATAACCTAAACTCTAGGAAAGCACTTAAATGGAATCTAATACATCAAAAGGAGTTGGATTCTAACACTTTGACACGAAAATCTTTCTAGTTACTCATTTCACTATGATATTTTTCAAAAGACATTGAATCCTTATCATTAATCTTTGATTGAATAATCGAATGAACCTATAATTCATCCGGAATTTTGATCACAGCATAATTATAGCTTATACAAATAACATCAGAACAGACCCATCAGAATAGACTCATTCCTAAATTATGATCACAGCATAATAATAGCTTATACAAATATTATTATGACTTGTGCTAGATTCAGACCTTATCACAGACTAGAAAGGCATCACTTCTTTCCATCCACTCTAGAAGGCATGACAATTGAAAATCATGCTCACAATTTGTCAACATTCGAGGGTTTATACAACGCATTACTTTATAATAGAAAATCTAGTACCTTCAAGACAGATAAGACATGTATCCTTTCCTAAGGGACTAACTCATAAGCCTCAGTAGGTTTTGAAATTTCCACATCAGACTTTGACGGTGAGGCAAGCAATATATCAGCAAGAGTTTTTCCTTCAGATTTCCCAACATGATCAATAGGAGTCAATATATCAGAGTTATCGGCAACAACATTTTCAGCAATGCCTGCAGGTTTCAGCTGTTTGGTTGTATCAATTTTATTAGATGCTTGGTTTCCAAGAGTACAGAATGGAGTTTGTGGGAGCCCAAAAAGCACATTGAACGGAATGGGTGCAGGAGGAGATCAGAAAGTATCAGGGCTTGATGTGTCAAGATTTAATCCAACCAGCAGCCCTGTTGACAAACCAGAGGCTGTTCCGTGATATGCTCTCAAGTTTTCCTACTCTTCCAAGGATGGGGGACTCTGCATCAAACAGAATGAACAATGAGCCATCCAAAGTTGTAGTTAAGTGCTCAAACAACCAAAATTGTAACAAAATGATTTTTGAGCTAATTTACATGAATAGTGTTCTATTCAGAAGAAATCCCTGAACCAAAAGCATGATTGCCAGAAAAAATCATGCATATATGTTAATCAATTAAATTTTATAATGCAAGACAAAATTTCCAAAAGCTAGAGATTATAGGTTAAGAAAACGACTACTTAACACCGAGCTATTCGAAACTTGGAAATTTGGAGTATATTGCAGAAGTTGTTCGTGAGATAAAAATATTTAATCAGCTTGATGTACTTTTCTCGGAAGGCTAATGTGTGAAATTTTAGCTGAACGGCTAATTCTGAGCCTGATGAGTGAATGTGAAACTGTCTCAGATTATAGATTGATCACTTGACGATGCTTCTGATGTCTAACAAGCCAAAGGAAGTGATATATATAAGTTCATCATCAACATCAGAAGCATCATATTAAACTACTGTTTCCTTTGGCTTGTTTGACAGACTACAAGCAGTCAAGCAACCTAATTTACCAGAATACAGCTTAGAATTCAGAATCAAATGCATTTTCAACACAGATACATTTAATAGTCACAGATGTCACAGCCATATGTAAAGGGTATGCCATATACATATATACAGCTAAATACACCATCTATTCAAATAGAGACTACATATAGAAGAATTAAAATATAGAGTATATACCTAAAAATCAGAAGAATTCCAAAAATCTAATCACTAAATATTCATTCATCTCAAATATTCATTCATTCCACAAGGAATTGTTTCCAGAGTTGAAACCTTTAGACCATCATACGAAAAGGGTAATCTTAATGGTAACCTATGTAAACTCACCAAGATGGTCAATATTGCAATCATGAACACGAGAAAGCTCCTCCTCCGTGAGATTATGATAATATGAATTTGTCAAATCAATATTATGAAAAAGATTAACCCATCTGATGAAGTAATGGTATAAGTTCGACGCAAAGCATTATAAAGATAGGCATAGGTCATATATATATCAAATTCATAGATTGGGGGCCGATAATAGCAAGCGTATCCGTCTCCGTGAACTGCAATGCTTCAGGAAATGATTCATGTTTGTTTTACGATAAACCAAACTGCAAATTGCATCAACCTGTTTACTAAAAGTCTTGTATATACTAAATATCTAATATATAGTCTCCTATATTTTACTTCCTACAAAGCCATCAATTAAGCTTAATTTAATCAATCTCATCTTGACTCAAGATTTATCAGAATATAAACCAAAAATTATAAATCGATATTTCATGCGTGCAGATACTAATGTGGCTGAGCATGTTAAAAGTTGTTCATATATAATTTTTCCAACCGACTCATCCGCATTCGGTATTATATTCCTAGTAACAATCACATTATAATGCGATATGCCGTTGCTAACTCCAAAAGTCCAAAATGTGAAAGCACAACATTACACACATCTTCTTTAACTGCTATTATAAAGCTTGCTATTCATTAAATTTATAAGGTGTACTTGCTAGTGAAAGCATGTAAAAATACATTTTCGCGTACCTACTTGAATATACCATCTTCAGTTTCGCCCCAAAATGGACGTCTTCCACAGAGCAACATTTAGCCATTTAGGTGATGACACTAATACTCCAGACATCAGACTCTAGGCCTGACTTTCTTTTCAGTACTTCTGGGGCAACATAGTAGGCACTGCCAACAAAATCTTTGAATATTTTCTCTATAGGAAGCAAAATGTTTGTGCCACATTGTCAAACGTTTGCGATAAATCAAATATAAGTCAGGTTGGACAAGAGAAATGTCTACCCACAAGCAGCAAGTGCATATTGACATTCCCCTTTCTACTCACCAGGTTTTATGAAATCTGATAATCCAAAGTCTGTGGCCTTTCAACTTTTCAAGATGAAATCTCTTCAGGCGCTTTGAAAAAAAAAGTTCTACAAACAAGCAGCACATTGGAATAAAACATAAACTTCCATCATAATTCATCTACTGCAATTGAAATGTAAGGTCCATATTTTCAAAAGAAAATCTACCTCGGGCTTCATATCACGGTGCTACCAGACCATGTAAGTGGCAATGAGCAGCAACTTTCAGCAACTGACGGACCACCACAGTTGCATCTTTCTCTGAATATCGGTTATCCTTTCTGATTTTAGTAACATAAGAAATTAGCATTAGCACACATACATATTGTCACATCACCAGGTACAATCATGAATCGCTGGCAGAGTAGATTATTGCTTACTTGGCTAGTATGCAATTCAGCAACACTTCACCTTCACACAACCTGATGACAAATGATTATCAACGTCATATTCAAATAACATGGTGATAAAGGAATTAGGGGTAAACAATTACTCAAATTTTACTTTTATTGAAGATGAACTACCATCAATTTGTGATCCCCAAACTTTTATATATAATAATGAATTATATTTTTAGTGAAGATGAACTACCAAGAGATGTCATTAAAGACAATTCAATTACCAATTTGCTGATAGCATTAACACAAAATAATTACGATACACTCGTAACCTAGCATCTCCTCAAAATAATTATGATACACTTGTAACACAGCATTTCACACTTGATACACTTGTAACAAAGTAATTCAACAAACAAAGATAAATGTGTCCTAGTGGTTAGATATGGGCCTTGAGATGAACAAAGTTGCTAGGAATTAGCTCTCAAATCAGTAAGCAAGCAAGCTAATTAGATAGAAAAGGATAGCTAAGAGGGATAAGTTGTATTATCAAACTGATTGTTCAACAATACAATGCCTTCTTTCGAGAGGAAGGTGCTCTCCAACAAGTCAACAACAGACTTCTTAACTATATTCAACATGATGATTATTCCTCCTAATGAGGTCTATTTATAGAAAATACCCCTAACAAACCTCTAGCTTATTCCCCAAGTTACTACTAATAGACTATGACTAATGTGCCCTTCCCCTAAATATTGATTCCTTGCATTACCCGCCGCTCAAACTTTCACCTTGTCCTCAAGGTGGTTTATAATCGGAACTGGATTCCCGACCTCGGCAACAGTGACTGAGAGTGGGCTGCAATTCTCTCCAGAAATTGATGAAATACAAAGCTGGCTTTTATGGGTTAAAGAGTTGGGCCGTATAAGAAGTGAAGGGATGAGTTGAAAGGCTAGAGAATGGTAGTTGACTAATTGGGTAATAAGTGTTGGAGAAGGAAAGTTGGGCCTTAAGTCAGTAAGCCCATCTTTTGTACTTGGGTTAGTGTGCTGGCCTTTCATCACGTTTGTAGCAGGTGACCAAAGCTGATTTAAATCCTTTGTGTTTGCTATAAGTGGTATTACCAAAATACCCTTACTAGCATATTCCATTTTTGTCTTCCTCTCCAAGCTAGCACATGAATCATCAAGGCATCTCCCATTAACTTATCTTTCTGGGTACTTCTAGAAACCACCGTGAAACCACCTCCATTGCAACTTCCCACCATCAGTTTCACCGCCGGTAAAAAAGCCCAGTCCACCTCCGAACATTATCCCACCACCGGTAAAACCACTAGAAAAATCACCATCCCGTCCTCCAATCATCGAGGGAGACGAATTGATCGTTCCACCGTCTTCTCTTGCGAACCAACAGCCCGGACCACTAGAGCCGCTTGCTCCACACCCGCCCCTCATGAAGACACCTTCCCTGTTCAGGCCACCACCCGCTCCACTCCCTCACTGTGAAAACCACCCGTTCGCCCAAAATATCCACCACCCAGCTCGCCGACAATTTCCCTTGGACCTCCACCTGTAAACCCATCCCCGAAATCGCCAAGCCTTCCCCCATATTATAGTTCCCTTGCAAAACCCTCAACTCCGCAACCCATTTCACCATTAATTTTTCAGGGCCACCCAAAAAATCACCACCACCACTGCTACCAAACACGAATTCACTCAGAGAATGTCCAGATCTACTTGTCTTGGCATCCTTAAACCGAACTTCCGATCTCTCCGGTCCTCCAACTGTCATCACCACAACCGCACCACTGCAACAACCACCAAATAGGCCGTCGGCAGCAGAGCAAAAGTATTGTTCACAGTTGCTCATCTCCAAATCGGCTGTCTCCTCCATCATGATTTCTACATCACCGCTTGGAAGGTCAGTGGTGGTTGACTGCTTCTCATCACTGAGTTCACTTTCTTCCTCCTCAAGCCCTTCTCGAATCAGACTTAGCTCCACTCTAATTCGAGAAAATGCTTCTTCAAATATCTTCACCAGATTTCTTTGAAGGGTATCAACAATTCTCTTCGTGGATTCCTCCATCCTTTCGGAGAATTGCTCAAGTGATTGTGACCAAATCGGAGCTCCGGCGACTTCCATTCTCTCTCTTTTTTTTTTTTTTTAATGGCTGAAAACAGAATTTCAGAGGTTGAATCTACCAGGACAGAACTGCTCTGATACCATTTGCAAGGAATTAGCTCTCAAATCAGTAAGCAAGCAAGCTAATTAGATAGAAAAGGATAGCTAAGAGGGATAAGTTGTATTATCAAACTGATTGTTCAACAATACAATGCCTTCTTTCGAGAGGAAGGTGCTCTCCAACAAGTCAACAACAGACTTCTTAACTATATTCAACATGATGATTATTCCTCCTAATGAGGTCTATTTATAGAAAATACCCCTAACAAACCTCTAGCTTATTCCCCAAGTTACTACTAATAGACTATGACTAATGTGCCCTTCCCCTAAATATTGATTCCTTGCATTATTTCAACAAATTAGGATAATGAAAATACTTCTTAGAGATAAGATTAGATCAGTATGTCATGCTTTACGGGCATTGCTTTCCACGGATAACAAAAGTGACATAAACTTTTATAGAAATCCCAATTTAGCATATCATGGTAATGGAGTCCCAGATATCATGGTATAAACTTTACCCCTAATCCCAATGTAGATTTTAGAAATAGTGAGACTGCTTTAACATCTCTGAACGCTACTAAGTTAACAATATCCATCAAACCATGCATGCATATACATTATATGATCTGTAATTAAGGGAACAGATTCACTGCACTCAAAACATGGTTTATGATGTTTGTGTTGTTTCCATTATCATTATGATAAATATAGAATAATGTTTATGATATATATGGTTTATAATTATCAAGTTTTGATACCAGGCAATTGCTTTCCATCCTTAAGGGTTATAATTTTTATGATGGGTTTCCATAATATCCATTTTGACAATGCCATGATGCGATAAAGTTGTATATGGATACCACCAAACGAAGAAAAGAAGAAAAATATATACGAGTAAGACAAATAACCTCATAGATCATGTTATTTGGATCTATATTGTCATATGCCATTTAGCCTGCTTTGAAGAATTTATAGTCAAGTGAAAACATCCAAGCTTCATAATTTCAAAAGGTATTATTAATTATATGTAGTTAGATTATCTACAATGATGCTTAGAACAGTAGCTCGAAGTTATTTCAATAAATCCTTAAGGAGAAAGGCTCAAGAGCTTTTTAAGGAAATCAAAGGAGACAAAATGCTTTTTAAACTTCTATATAACTTCTTGACAAGTATATTTGATGCAATACGTTTCTGCTCACAGCATTACATACCAGTCTTTCTAGCTAATTATTCTCGTTTGTCCAACTCAAAAACGTTTCTTCTGTTTGTGTTCCCTTATTGCAGATAAGGCAGTTTTAAAAGCAACTACCAAAGGAATATGCAAATAAAGCAACTATCTACATTGTCAGATTTCTCAATCACAATGGAAATTGCATATCAGCACTTATAAGCTACAACTATTGCTAGCTCATGCTCTTCACCACATCTCTTAATTTCTTTTTCCGGGTATGCTAGTCATTTGAGGTTGAGAATAAGAAGCATGATTTGTTGAGAGTTATACAAGAAACTGAAAGGGGGCTCAAAACACCGCCAGGCCAACAATCTTTGATTGAAGAGGCCTTAGTATGTATATACTTTTACTTGGACTTAGTCAAACATTGATGTCTTTCAATATTGTATTTTGCATGGTTAAAATTGAAGTAATTGATTAGTTTGTCAAGCATATTTCATAGAATTAAATAAGATGAATAGTGTGGTGAGTAAATGGTTATACGATGTCAGTTTATATTCAGGTGAGTGCAGAGGGATATGATGCTGGTGAGCCAATTGATTTAGAAAAACTGGATGGTACATGGCGTCTTCAGTATAACTCTGCTTCTGATAATAGAATGTTTTATGCCGCCAATCCTTGAATTATCTTATCTTTAGCAAAATAACAATTTTACCTAACTCCCTCCCTCTCCATATCTTCATAACTTTCAGAAAGCAACTCAGTAAAACCCCAAACATCCACCCAGAACAATCTACGCCCAAACTCAAACATCCAAAACCCTAAACAACAATGAAGAAGAAGACCCAAGCCCAGCGCACCTCAAACATCCAAATAGCAACCAAAGCAACAAAAAAAAGAAAAACAATTGTAAATGAAAGATGACCTGTAAAAACAACAAAACAATGACCCTGAAGAAAAACACTATCAAGATGCAAAAAAAAAAAAAGAGAGAAATGAGCAAAAACCAGGAAAATCACAAGAGAAGGGCATAAAGACAAAACCTTTTTAGACCCATCTTGGTTAGGGTTTAGGGTTCACGCATGAGGCTCCAACCACCGCATAAACAGTTCTGACCACTGCCACCACCGTTACCGGAAAAAAAAATGGAGAACATTAACAAAATGCAAATAAGCCACAAGAAAAAGAATAACCGCAATTGAACCCACAACAACAGAAAAAAGAGAAGCAGGAAACATTACCAAGCATCAAAAGCTAGCACTCGCCGCATCGAAAAACCGTGATTTGCTCTTGACAGAAAATTGAGAAGTAAATTCAGTGGGGGATATAGGTAGCCGGAAAAGGAGTGAGAAATGAAGGGAGGAGAGATAGGTAGCAGTAGAAGATGAGAGAGAAACGGAGAGAGGGGAGGTAGGAGCATGCAAAGAGGAGAGAGAAACAAAGGAAAAGAAGGGGAAAGGCAACGGTGTAATAAGGTAGAAGCAGCAAGGGCAAAAAAGGAACAACACTGTAGACATCAACAATTTAAACCCCCTATTGGCTTTTTTTTTTTTTTTTTTTTTGATAGGGATAGATGATTTCATTCACACAATAGCCATCTCGGCATCTACATCATCATTTGAACATAACTGAAGCAGAAACTACACCCACAACACCTAAACTTGTTTCTATTCACGCTCATCTCCATTAAGGTGGTTCCAATCTTGAAACCATGTGAATTCTTCGATGTCATTGCATCTTTCAATAATTCCTTCACCAACGGCGCTGTAGATATTATGGAGTAAGCAACTGCACTACAGATTAGATCTTCTTGAGTCAAACTCATCTTCCCCAACACAACAACCATGAATACCAAACCCACCAAATGAACCAAAACTGAGATCAGGCGGAAACCCACAGTCGAAGCCCTTGGGTCCTTAGTCGGAAACTGCTCTATAAAGCCAGCCCCGTAGGTCCACTCATGGACGACCCGTCTTAAAACATTTGCCGCAGGAAGCGCTCGAACAACAGAGGAAGCAATGGTGGGTGGCTCCATAACTGACCCAAAATGAAAATTATTTATGAACAACTCAGAGATCATCAACTGGGTCTTATTCACCAAACAAAGATTAAACATTGAAAGAAGCATAAAATTAAAAGGACGAACATCCCCAAAAACACGAGTTGTAAAACTCGGTCAGAAGCCAGCGAAATCCAAACAAGCACCAGATCAGACTTAAGGATAACGGCACAAACCTAACCCGTTGCAAAAACCGGCAACCTTAAAACCAATCAACCAAGTCTAGACCTTGACTCGCACGAAACGGATGGATTCAGATCGCGCTTCTTCCGGCCGACAATAAACCGACGTTGATGAGGCCTAGGGTGGGTGACTCACTGGCGCACAAGGAAGGGCTATAACCCGACCTCGGCCGGCGAGCCCCCCCGATAAAACCAGCAGCAGTGAGAGAAAAGGACAGGGAAGGTGGCCGGGAGAAGTAAAGGGCGACAATTGATGAAAAGGCAGAACCAAGAAATGGATTAGGAAGTGGAGAGAAGAGGAAGAGAGAAAAGAGCCCACCCTAAAGGCAAGAAGCTTCGAATCAGAAGCACAAAACCCCTTCCAAGAGAGAAACCCTAGAAGGAACTTCTCTCTCTAGAATAGAGAGGCAGCACATTGAGAAACGCCCCCTATTGGCTTTTATAGTAGTAAAGATAAAGGTAAAGATGTCTTCACTTTTCAAATTTTCCGAGGGACAATTTCCTTATACTTAAATATCTCTATATAATGAGGTGAATTCAACGAGATACTAATTGTTATAGTATTTTTCTTTGTATAAATAATTGTTGCTAGTCAAAGTGAAATTGATTAATAATACTCTTTCAATCATTTAAACAAGTGAACATTTGTGTTTTTCCATTATGTAGTTTCTTATTTGATTCTTTTTTTTTTTTTTTTTGACGAGGAAGAAACATTATCATTAATAATAAGCCATACGGCATCTCTACAATAATAACACAAATCTACAAACAATAGAATTAGAGAAAATACACAACTCTTACGGTCAAAACAATTACTAATAAGCCTTCTAAAGCACAACTCATACCCCACTGCTTCAGTCTTGACGTAGGCAGTAATTTTCGATGTCTTTGCATCGATGCAGGTATTCAATTGATGTCTTTACAGCTTTCAAAAATTCCTTCGCAAAATGAGCACAAATTCTTCTGAGCGAAAAGTTGATGAAAAACCCCAATTCTAAATGAATCCAGAGCATTTCCCAATTATTAAAACCCTAAAAAGAAAAGAAAAACTCTTCCATAGATGAAACAACAAGACCTTGAATATAGGAGGAACCCTAATAATAGGGACCAACCCAATCAAATTATTGGGACCAAAACACATTAAAAACACACACACACCAAAAAAAAAAAAAAAAAAAAAAAAAAAAAAAAAAAAGATAGAAGAAAAGCGGCGGAAATAGACTATTTCTGCCTTAAAAAGGCTATGAAATTGGAACCCTAGGAGAGAATAAAGAACAGAGAAAGGAGGGAGAGAGAGGGGGCGGCTAAGTTGTTTGATTCATTTTCAATGAGATATATTATTCATCATATTCTAATTTTTAATGTGATGCAACTAAATACATAAATAACACAAAAAATATCTTCCAAGAAGTTACCTTTCTTGACTGAAAAGAGTAAAGAGGGTACATCGGAGCTGAGACAGAGACTTCCCACTGCACCTTCCACTACTTCATCGGCATTTTCTTCTTACCTTTTACTTTCTTCCTGAACTGTAAGAAATGTCAGTAGTAACAAAGAACTGAGTTAGATAAAATCTGAAAGAAGACAGAAGTAAGTCCAAAAGCATCAACAATAGAACATGAATAAAACAAATGTTAGTCTAAAACAATCCATCACAGGATTCTCTACTCTAGTCTGCCTTATAAAAACATTATCCCTAGTTGCATGAAGCAAGATCCTTTCAAATGCCATAGATTTCTCTATGGGTACCAAGCCTGCAAAGAACCCCCAGCTACACAGACTTTGATGGATCAATCGACTTGTCCTAAACACATATTAATTGAAATTTATGAAAAGGTATAAAAAAGGATAGAAGACATGAAAAGTACAACGCATATGACCAAATTAAGTATTCTCTGCATTTTGTTGTTCCAGTTCTCCATACTAAAAAGGCGCACTTCTTTGAGCTGGATAGAAGAATTCTCCAACCTGACGGACATATAAAAACACATAAGTTTCGATATTTGACCTAACCAATATAATTAACATATGAATAGTGATACAAATTAATTTACCTTGTTCCAAAAATAAAGGTGTGTCCAACGACTCTTCATTTTGCTAGAAGCCGCGCTACTTTGAGCTGAATGTAAGAAATCTCCAGCCTGAAGGATAAAAGAAACACACAAATTGACTTAACCAATAAAAATAACACAAGAATAATGATCCAGACTATGTATCCTGATCCTGCAAATTAAATAATTAACATTTTCCAGAAGTTTGCTGCAAAGGATAATAAGATGATGATGATAATACTAGTTTCATTTATCAGATAATCAAGTCTCTTATACTAAAGTCTAACCCCTTGAACTACTTCCTTTTAGATCTACAGACTACAGGATTAATAGACGTTATGTTGTTTGGCTTCAATTTGATCATCACAGTAACACACATGATCCTGCCACTTTAACCACTACACTCATATTTTGGTACTTAATCTATTTTATAAGAAAAAATAAATATAAAAAACCTTATATAAGAACGAGCTAATAGAATCATGATTAACTTACCTCCTGTAGTTTATACTTAGAAAGCTCCTTATAAGTGCACTATAACTTATCATTGCTTAAATTCATCTCAGAAATCACAATGAACAGCTTCTAGCTCGCGCAAGTTTCAACTAAGAACAAAATCAAACCCGCTAGTAGCTCAATTAGCAAAGCTTGTAATATTCCCTTCAAACACAAATGCTACAAGTATTCAAGAGAAGAGTAGAGCCATAAAAATGAATAAGAAGAAAGAAGGTTTCCCAAAATACCTCCAGATAATCCACTTTGATTTCAATATTCCAAGAGAAAGACTTGGTGGAGTCAAAACTTGTTTCTTGAAATATCGCAATCTAAGAGCCATCTCCGCACATCTTTTAATCTGTAGAAAAGAATCACCAAATCCAATCAATCAACATGCAGAAACACTACAATGAAAGTAACACACTTAGATATATTTATTCACCTGGAGCAGTTGGTTCACCAGTTGCCTTTCTGACCAAAGTCCAATAAAAAGACAGAAAGTATTCCCTTCAGCGAACCCGCTTGTAGCTCAATCAGCAAAGCTTGTTATATTCCCTAATACCTCCAGATAATCCACTTCAATTTCATTCCGAATGAAAGACTCAATTTAGTGTTTTGCCCATCTGTTGCAAGCAGCAGGCTGCTGATAAAGAATAAGCTACTGGGAGCATACTATCTGATCTGAAGGAGAACTTATACTTAGCAGCGATGATCTGAATCAGGTGTAAAGTCTGTGGACAGTGAAGAAGAGAGTGTTTCATCCAAGTGAGTTTCACAGCAACTGGACAATGGAACCACCTACTGATTCATTCCTTGAAACACATTGGATCGTCCAGGACTGATAGAGGGCGGCAGAAGACATATAAGAACTCATTCTAGCCAGCACCGGCCAAGAAATTAAATCATGTGCATACTATACACCAGCACACCTGTGTAAAATTGTTCTGTGTCGCTCTACTTACTAGTTATTAATGCCTCCATTTTGGCCTTCTTGAAATGAGAAAAGCAGTAAAATACATTAAGACATCAATCTAATCTCCAATTCCCACATACATTAAATTGTTGAGTACAAAGTGATCAGTAACAACAAATGGGGGAAGAGAAGTACAAATAACTTACATGATGATGTCAATCAAGTCTACATCAAATTGTAAACATTAGGTCCAAGCGACCTGAACAACAATTTTTTAATTTTTTTTTGGGGGGAGGGGGGGGGGGGGAAGGGGGTGAATAATATTTAACTTAAACAGCAACGTCAAATTTGTTGAGTCTCCATATCCACATGCATGTATCCATCGAACTACACAACACTTGCACTTCATTTCTTCAAAGTGATCGCCGTTCCACGTACAACTAGAGATTCTTCAGTGATAGCAAGCTGTTTACGTGAAGATGTGGGAAGTCAAAATATCTTCGCCACCTAGGGGGAGGTGACCAAACACTTCCCGTCTTCCAATTATAACAAACCAACGCAAAGGACATGCTATGCTTGGTTTCCACAAAGCCAAAAAACCAAAACTCCCCAGTTTTCAAGCTCATATAAAGAGGTATAGCGACTCCAAACTTTGAGGGATTGAAATGTCTCTGAAGCGCCAAATACATACCAGCTGCATCGAAATTCATACATCTACCCCAAGGGCCAGTTTTTGGTCCTATCATTTCCCAGACTTTCCAAAACTTACTAGGGTTTTGCCAATATATTATACCTGCACCACCGGTGTCCATTGGTATACAGTAAGTCTTCACCTTGCTGTTGATAACGCTATCTTCTGGCGCTTCGAATTGATACATGGTTTCAGCATCTATATCCAAGGCAAAACCAAGAGAGTGACATATATCAAACCAATAGACATACCCCGCTGCAATAGAAAACGGATGACTCAGTAGTGTCTGCTTTGCCTTGTTACTCATAGTAATGCCTTGACAGTCAATGTCAATAGCCCTCCAAGTTTCATCAACAGCTACTGTCCATACCATAACCTTAACTTCAAATCTGGCAAGATGATCATCATTTTTTTCACGTTGACGATATGGTGAACGTGGATATTTGGGGACGAAACAAGGACAAAAGACTTTGTATCGACCAGAAGAAGGTGCAAATGCTAGAACAGCAGAAGGTTTACGATAAATGCATACCTTTGGCAGGGTGAGGGACAGGGGAGGGAGACTGATGTTGGCTTTAGTTACAAGATTCACTACAGACAATTCTTTTGGAATGAAGGCATTTTGAAGCAAGAGTAGTCCGTTACAAGAAGCCAAAATGAAGGCCTCAAATGGAAGCTTAAGTATACTGACAACACGATCATATGGGTGAACATAATAGGCCTGTTTTAGCTTAGCATCATCCAGGTCATCGTCTTGAATAAGGAAACCAGTAGTAGCAGGAGATGACATGGACTGAAGAAGGTGGGCTCTAATAAAGAGCGGGTCAGAGATAATAGCATTCCACTCCTTGCAAACGAACCTCACAATCTCCTGAAGAAGTGAAGCACGAAGAAATAAAAAGATGTGAAACATAATTTCTCTGGGAATAGACCAAGACCAACTCGGCCTCTTGCTGCAAGGAGCAAGTGTTGGATATTTTCCTGAAACCTGAAAATTTTGATAAATTCACCCATTCAATCATCGATTCATTCTATGATATAATGTTAGTTTAATTACATTACATGGTTGGATATGGTGGTTGTATATTGCCGTTGCCACATACTCATATGCATGCCTAGTTTCATATTGTGTTATAATTTTACTTTTTAATAATATTAGGATTAATACTCATATGCGGCCTAAATTCACCAGGATATATGAACAATTTAGGCCCCTCCTGCCCTGCCCCAGGGACGGGCCTGTAGATGCTTTTGCTAATATTAATTCAATTGTTCCAGAACCACCCAGTTGAAGCTAAATATTAATCATGTGATTCAGTAGCTTATTGTTATAATACAAAAAGTCAAGATATTCCCATACAATTGAAATCAACCTTGATATTACTTTTATTCTTAAATACAAAAAGAACTCAAATTGAGCAGATAATGTTTATAAAAGAAAGCACTTTCCATTTTGCCAAAGTATTCATTGTGCATCCAAAACAAACCCAAAATTGATCAACATGAATAACAATAAACATGCCAAAAAATACAGATATTCCAAAACACCATTAACATGATACATACCTCCAAAGCCCCAGACCCGGTGGCGCGTTCATTCCCACCGTTAACAAGACGGCCAACAAACACCTGACCAAACCCACCTTTCTTCCTTTCTACTTTATAAATAGGAAAAGCACCCACTTGAACCTACAAAAACAACAGCAAAACCAAAAACATCGATCAAAAAATCACACCATCATTCATATAAAATCGACTCGATTCACAAATTCAATTCAAATCAACATATATCAATCAAAAAACCACAAAATCATTATTCAAAATCAACTCATTTAACAAAATCAAATGAAATTCGTTTTAAAAAAGATTACCCTTTCAGGAAAAGGGGATTTATTTCCATCATCATCATGTCCAGTTCCCTTATTATTAGCACTTAAACCACCACTATCATCTCCCAACATTTCTTCTCTGACTTCTGATTCTCTCTCTTTTGACTCACTTTCCTTCTCCGATATCACAACCACTGGTACAACCTTATCAACAACCTTCTTCTTCTTTCCACTATTATTCTTAGTATTATTGATTACCCTTTTGTTGTTGTTTGTTCCTTAAATTTGCCCTTTTTCACAGCTAACTTAGTTCTCGGAGGATCCTTAACAACTTTTTCTCTCTCCTCTTCAACAACACCAACTACTGCTACTGCTTCTGCTTCTCTCGCAACAGCTGCGCGAGTTCGAATGTAGTTACCAACCAAATGAGTCGATTTCTTCTGATTATTATCAACGATATTCTTCTGCTTCTTATTCGTCGTCGTTTTGACTGAATTTCCACGTTGAAGCTCTGGCATTTTCGTCTTCCCATACAATCGAAATTTTTGTGATTCTGTGTTTTCGCTAGTGTTACCCATCATTCGATCTATTACCTCAAATTTGAATATGATTCCGATTGCTTTTTTTTGAGTTCGATTCGAAATTTCGATTGAAAAACGAAAATGTAGGGTTTTGAAGAGTGATTTGGGGGAAAAGAAGTTTCGAATTGGAATTGGAATCGGAATTTGGGAGATTTAATGAAAGGGTGAGTTTTTGCTAATTAGGGTTTGTACTTTGTAAGTTCGAGTGTGTACGATGATGAGAGAGAACGGAGATGAAGTCTGATTTTTCTTTTTTCTTTAATTATTAGGTTAATTTGCAAATTACCACCCAAAAATAGTATCAATTTCTAACTAACCACCCATTAAAAATTTTATTTTAAATTACCACCCATTAAATTAAAAAAACGCTCAGATTACCACCCATGTTGCAATTCCGGTGAATTTCCGTCGGTGGGCCCCACTTTTTTTTTATTTTTTCCCTTTTTTTTTCTTCTATTTTACGATTTCTCACTCTCTCTCCTCGATTTCACTCTTCTTCTTCCTACCTCCTTCTTTCTTTCTTCTTCCCAACCATCACCACCACCATTGCTCCACCTTTTCCAGCAAAAATCTAGGGTTTACTCCCACTCTAAATGACGGTTCTAGCCCTGATTTCTCCATGGTTATCCCCAATTTAGCTCTGAAAACCTCCATTTTCAACTGGGCTAAGCCCTGATTTCCCTCCTCTTTTTTTTTCGTTCCATTTCGACTTCCCTCACTGAACTTTGTATCCTTGCCTTTTCACCGCACCTTCACCACCAACAACTCCTAAACCACAAACTACCGGCTGCCTGCAACCTAGCAACTCGCCGCTGCCGCACCACCTAGCAGCAAAACAACTACCTCCAACCGTCGAACAGCAGAGCAGCCACCAGTCCCCTCTCGCCGCTCCACCCATCGCACTAATACAGCAACCCAGTTTGCCGCATCCTTCAGCCTCGCAATCAATCATCATCGCCCAGCTCTCAACCGCACAACAACACCATTTTCAGTCACCAACGCAACCACCACCTTCATATCCACACTTCAATTCACCAACACCAAAACGCAGCAGCAATTGCGACAATTAGAACCTCCAATCCACCATCAATTACAACAATTCGCCACCCAATTACAACAATTCCGACCTTCAATAGCAACAACAACTTTGAATTGTGCTCCAATTGAAGATCCAGAAGGTGCGTTCATGGAAGCAGATTCGAAATAACTTAAGCACCCCAATTTTCCCCAATTGTACAAACAATTAACTAATCAGCCCAATTAATTATTGCGTTGAAATCAAATAATTCGTGCTAAAAAACAAACCCTAACTAACAATTCCGCCAATTTTCCCCAAATTAATTGCAATAAGAACCCTAATTTTAAAAATTCAGAAACCATAACTGCTGTATGTATGGGGGATTCGTCTGCAACTAGGGGATTTGATTTCGCTGCAAATTTTGAAGAAATTGAAGGAGATTTGTGGGTTTAATTTTGGGGAAGTGTTTACTCTGAAAAAATCGTGAACAATTTCAATTACAAAGGGAAAAGTAGCCGTAATTAGCCGTTGGGTGGGCCCAATGTCTTAAATTTCCACCGGATTTTCAAAATGGGTGGTCATCTGTGTGAAAATTTAATTTAATGGGTGGTTATTTAAAATAAAATTTTTTATGGGTGGTTAGTTAGAAATTGATACTATTTTTGGGTGGTAATTTGCAAATTTTCCTAATTATTATATACTACCTCCGGTTCATTTTACTTGCAACAATTTTCATTTTGGGTGGTTCAAATTACCTACAACAAATTTTTTGTTTTCCCTTATTTGGTAACTTTTGGGTTGTAAAATGACATATATGCCCTTACTTTTTTCCTAATCTATCTTATTAACACTCCTAATTTCATTTGCTTAGGGTTTGTTTGGCATCATTTTTAGTTTTCAGTTTCCTGTTTTTTTTTTAAAACTAAAAACCAAAAACAGGAAATAAGAAAAAGGTGTTTCCACTTTTCTGTTGTCAGTTTTCAAAATTATCATGATTTTAATAAGTCTAAATATTTTTTGATTCATTATGTGACATATATAATATACTTTTAAAATACAAAAAAACCAAAAAACAGAAAACCACAGCGATGTCAAACGAACCCTTAGTTTTATGTTTTAATTAATTAACCTAACTATTCCCACCAAATTTACCCATTCTCCTTTAAATTCCTTCATCACTCAACTACCTTCATTGAATCTGCATTCAATTCAGATTAAAAATGGTTGAGTCAATTAAATTCTGGAATTTTTTTCCAGAAACCCCACCTCCCCAAACCCTACCTTTTTAAATTTGTCACTCTCTTACTCTCTCTCCTCTTCGCCTCCTCTTTCTCCTCAAAAATTCTGGGTTTTTTCCTCTTTCTCTCTCTTCGTTTTCTAGGTTTTCAACTACGATTCACCTTAATTCACCCTTAAAATGTCTTCTTCTCAACCAAAAATTATAGATCTGGTAAGCCATGAGTCCCTTTCTTCTGGATACACACGATCCCCACCTAAACCTGGTGCTACCGCGTGTATACCTCGTCGTGGTTCTGGTGTGATGAAGCCACTCCGTCGTGCTTCTGTAATTGCTCGTAGAAAGATTGTAGGGGCGAAGCTTGCTGAATACATCTCAAGCGACGAGGATGAGAAGCCGACAAAGTGTTCTGGGTCTAAAAGGCCTGTTCCGCCATCTCTCGGCCTAGATCGGGAGGTTGTTTCCACCAAAGAGGGTGGATCTGCTGCTGTGGTGGCTGTTCCAGCTGCTTCACCACCACTAGACGCCAATTCTGAAACTTGGTCTTCTTTGTTCCAGGAGCTGACTGCTGGGGAAGTCCTTCAGCCACCGGTTCCCATCCCATGATGGGTGGGAGTACGTCTGGCCCTAGCGCTGGTACTAAGCGCCTGAGATCCGGCTTACCAAGGGGACAGGATCCAGACGACGTACTGGTGGCTTACCTCCAAATCTACTACCCCCAGTAGTCCCTTCCCCCATACTAATTGGGCAGCGTAATTTCTAATACCCTAATCTTCTTCTTTTGTTCCAATTTGTGGTTAATTATGCTATTGATGAGACCCTTGTTTTTTGTTATGCTATTTCTGCTAGTGTTGGTTGTTTGGGTATGAATTGATGAGTCCCCTGTTATGTTTGGATTTGTTGTTTGGGTATGAATTGTTGGTTGTTTGGGTATGAATTGTTGTTTGGATATGAATTGGTCTATTGGTTGACTTGATTAGTTGTGCTGGTGCGTTGGTGGAATGCTAGTATGATTTTGTTGATGAGTCCCCTTTGTGTGATGCATTGAGTCCCCTCCACACAACTTGCATCGTATTGAATCCCATCCAAATGATGAAGGGACTCATCTGATAGCTATTTGAGTGTCATGGCTGCTCTAGTTACCTCTGTTTGAGGTTTCTATTGAGGTACCATAACTCATTGATGCCTTGAAAGATAACTGTAACCCTTTCTGATGGATGATTAGTGAGAAAAAAAGGTTATGTTTGCATTAATAACAAAAGGTTGTGTTTTTTTACAAAACCAAACTTAAGTAGCATACAAGACTGTCTAAGAATGTGTAACTTAATTATGTACCAAAATACACCTAACCAATACCAACAAAAACAACAAAAAAACATGTTAAGATTGTACTGGTTATGTGTGGCAGTCTTTGCCTTAGCTGGTATGAGTTTGCTTCCATGTATTCTTCAATCTGCATCAACTTCCATTTGGAATTCATTTGCACCAGTACTTGGGATTGTGATTGAATTAAGATAGTTAACAACTTCTGCAATTAGTTCCTTGTCTACCTCTAGCAAATCTGGTAGAATACCTTGCCTGTATAGACTTCTTTTTTTCATGTGTGATGGTGTGTAGTTGTTTCCTCCTTTTCTTGTTAATACCTCAATCATGCATGACTGTAGTGTAATCCAACTGTATTTGTTCAACTCTGGATCAAATCCTTTGAATGCTATTTCAACTTCTTTGATAAGATCATCTAAATTCTGAGGGAATGACTGATACTGCAGTGATTGAATGACATTGAAGAGTCCTTAGTCTAGAACATTCATATCTGGTGATTGAGCTGGTTGAAAAACAAACTGTATGTTGAATCCATATGCTTGACATGCTACTTGAAATTCTGGATCTTGTGGTATTTGGTGAGGCCTAGCATTGTCCCATTGAATAGTTATGTCCTTGGGCAGCTGTGGGGGCCATTGTGCATGTATTGTGGGCAACACATGATTAACTAGCATGTCCCTTATTTCCTCCTTGTTTATACTCTGGATTGCCTTAGCCTCTATGGTCCCCTGGCTTTGTCTCTGTTTTTACTCTTTTTCTTTGCTTCCTCATACTTCATAAAAGGGAATAGACCATACTTCCCATCATGTAAAAGTTGTTTATTTGCATCATACAATGGTTTCCCTATCATGCCCATAAACATAGCCTTCACCTTAAACCTTCTGGACTGTTGTGCTCTGTATGGATTGTCTTCTGTTGGAAGAAGATAGAATGTCCTTGTTTCTGGGTTTATAAAAAACCACTTCTCATCAATGTGTATCCATTGTTGCATGTCTTCAAATGAAGGGTCCCCTTCAGCTGGAATTGGAGTGATGTGACTAAGAACCCATTTTAGTCTTGCTATTTTATGATTAACATCACAAAATAGCAAGACTAAAATATTTGCTAAGAAATTAACATCACAAGATAATATGGCATTCGAATCCCCCTTGTAACATCACTCCTTTTTTTTGGGGGGTGTTTTATTTTAACCATACCACTCGACTACTCCCTTATTCCTATTTCCCAACCAAACCCAAATTACTTGTATTGTGTACCCGTTTTTTTTAAATAGGTTGATGTTAGTTGAATTATCGAAATTGTCCCCCCATTGTCAAATTTCTAGGTCCACCACTGTCCTCTTGGTCTGCAATTCCCACGCACCAAACTCCATAGTTTTTCTTGTTTAAAATTAGGAAAATTTTCAAAAAACCACCCAAAAATGTGTTGAATTTCTAACTAACCACCCAAAAAAAAATTTATTTTAAAATACCACCCATTAAATTAATTTTTTGCTCAGATTCCCACCCAATTTGAAAATCCGGTGGTTTTTTTAGCTTAAGGGGCCCAGTTTAGTTATTTCCCTCTTTTTTTTTTTCCCTTTTCTCTCGACTTCACTGTCTTTCACTCTCTTTCTCATTCAATTCTCCCAACTAACCCTATTCTACAATCAAATTTCACTCCTTTTTTCAGCGAATTCCCCCTTTCTTCATAAATTGCTGTGCATTGTTCAATTCAGAACCCTAAATTCGACATTAAAACCCTAATTGTACTTGCAACAGGAATTAATCTAGAGTAATTGCTTGAAGTGGGGTTGTTTAATTGCAAAAAAGTCGCCATCTTTTGCTGTTTACCGGGGACCAGGAGCTCAGGTGAGGAACCTGACAATAGCTCAGTGCAATGGCGTCGAAAGAGGTAAGCAATTTTGTTGTTTGTGTTTAATGTTGAAGGTTGTTGGTTGTTGATGGTATATTTGCAATTATGTGGAACCCTAATTAATGAATCCCACAAATTCCCCCAATTAACATTTTGCAAGAACCCTAATTTTTCCAGATAATTGAGATTACCTTGTGCGAATTCAAGTGATGTCGTTGCTGCAGATGCAAATGCAATTAGAAGCAATCTTAATTTTGTGTAATTTGGGGAAAAATTTTGTTTAGGAGCAAAAATTGAATAAGGAATACACTTGTATAGGAAAAATCGGGGGAAGAAAATAAATAAAAGCATACACTAGCCGTTAATAGCCGTTATGTGGGCCCCACAAGCTAAAAAACCACCGGATTTTCAAATTGGGTGGGAATCTGAGCAAAAAATTAATTTAATGGGTGGTATTTTAAAATAAATTATTTTTGGGTGGTTAGTTAGAAATTCAACACATTTTTGGGTTGTTTTTTGAAAATTTTCCTTAAAATTATACTGATTTTCATTCGACCATTTTTGCCATTGTTATGCAGTGTTTCTTCTTTGGCTTCCTTCATGTCTAATCCGCTGAAGTAAGCTGTTTTTAGAAGGGAATTTGTTTATGGTTTTACACTTCTATTTAGTACTGATGAGCTGGTGCCAAATATCTTGCATTATGCCATTATGGACACCCAGATGTTTTCGATAATATAACACGTGATGGTATAAGCAAGGCTTCTCGTGTTATAAATATCAGTGAAGATATATTCTCAGGTAGGTTTTCTAACAAGATTAGATACATTCAAAGATTTCAAACCCTTATCAGGAGTTGTACTTTATGAATCACTAGTTATACTAGTCTATTAGGTTAGGTTTATGTTATTTTTAAGGGTCTCTTACTAATAGCATACTTTTGGTCCATGTGTTTTGTTAAATAACTAGGGTTTGAATTTCAAACATGTAACTTAATTAATTTTTATATACTCTTAAGACCTGTACCTTCAAAATTTCAAACTCATCATTTGTGTGTGTGATTTGTTCATTAATCAAGGTTTAAAATTCAAATTTGTATATTATCATATACCTTGTACTTTTAGGACGTGTACATTATAGATATAAGAAATGAACTCCTGAATTGTACCAAAATTTGTAATTTATAATTTTATTTATTTATTTATTTATTTATTATTATTATTATTATTATTATTTTGACACATTTACAGAACTACCTTATAATTGTTTGGTATACTTTTAAGATATATATTTTAATTTTATAGTTATGTGTGTGTGTGTGGTGGGACCCTTCCCCGGACCCTCACCTCGCGGGGATGCCAATGTGCACCGGGCTGCCCTTTTGTGTGTGTGTGTGTATAATTTGTTTCATAATCAAGGTTCAAAATTTCAAACTTGTACCTTACAACTTTATGATATGTACTTTATAAATTTAATTTTAGTTTATGACATGTAAATTGCAGCTCTATGGTATGTATGCATCTTATGTGGTTTCTATTGGCCTCTTTACTTATTTTGGCTTAGTACTCACTTTTCATGAATCTCCAACTGTCATTCTAATGTTCCATGTCAGATGACCTTTTGCCCTTTCCTCATTGAACTTCTACTGTCAAGTTGTGCAGCAACCTGCTGTTACTGAGTTATCTTTTTCCTTTCATTTTTCTGCAGTTGACGGTGCTGACAGTGTACATCTTTCTTTATCTGGTAGGTTGACAATTCTACTAGTGTCAATACCACATTTACCTGGCAGATATATCATGCTGTGTGTGACTGGCTGGATTTTATATTATAGTGTTTTTATATTAATTTTAAATAATACTTTTGATGGTTTTGTATTTACTTAGGCAACTTTATTTATATCATTTGTCATTATGACATGAATTGTTTTTTTAAAGCTTGAGATGAGGTTATTGATCTAGAAATTTCTTCACTCTTAAGATGGCATTTATAGAAAAACATTATTGTTAGAAAAACAGTATCAAGCAACTGGGAGGGGTTTTGTTGTCCGGCATATAAAGTTGAGCGAAAGCTACAGGCTTTATTCTCGGAGTCATTTTGTCAAAGGGTATATCCTTTTCTCCTTGTCATGTTGCTCGTATAGTGTCTTGAACAGTCTTTGAGCTGTATGGCTTTCTCATTGCAGGCTTGAAGTTGTGCTTTTGTTGATTGTTTTTCTTGCTTATGGCTATAATGATGGTGGTGCGATAGGCTACATTCTGCTTTCTATCAGCAGTTGGTTTATGGCCCTCTCTTGGCTATTTGCTCCCTACCTGTTCAATCCATCCGGTTTCGAGTGGCAAAAGTAAGTTGGGGGTTTGTGACTTAAAAGCTATCTAGCTTTTGTGGACATCAACAACTTTGCTTAATTTAATTATACTAATTCATGTTTCCATTTGTTATGTCTAGGACTGTGGAAGACTTCAGTGATTGGACAGATTGGCTTCTTTATAGAGGTGGAATTGGTGTTAAGGGTGAGGAGAGTTGGGAAGCGTGGTGGGAAGAAGAATTGGTGATTTCTCTACATCTCTAAACTTGCCAAACTACTATTTCTTAAGCTGTATCATCTTAACTGTATACTTTGGCACCTAAACCCCTTTCCAATGGTGTCCATGTCAATTTTGCATAATAATTGAGTCCATGATGGTTAATTTCAATTTAAGCAGAATTCAGGAAGCATAGTGGCAGCCTGAAAGCAACTGATCCATTCTTCAGTACAGGTTGAAAAGTTTGTATGTAGGTTGTTTAGTCTTGAAGCTAGTTGATACGCCAGATATAGAATAATAGATCCAAAAGGTTGAACAAAGACATCTACCATATACCATCAGACCATCACCAATTCACCACCCACCAGACCACCACTTCCACCTCAAACTGAAGCATGGAGAATGGAACATAAAGCAAAGAAAGCTTAGTATGAACCTGAGAGATAGCATCATAACGAGCGATTCCCCAAGCAGCTTCCTTAACTGCCAAAGCAAAAGGTTCACATGGAATACGCCTACATTATCGCATCCAAACAAGCATAAGTCATTTGCAGAACACAGAAAAGTTGCATAATAAGAGAAATATCATATTCTTAATCAGAAAGACGTTTCAGGACATGTAAATGAAGATTAAATATCGCCAACCATTAATCTCATGGAGGCATAGGTCTAGTGGATCTGAGATGGCTTACCATTTTGCAAATCGAGCACCCTGATTATAATACTCAGCAGACCTTGAAGCCAGGCCATCTAACCCTTGGCACCAAGATTCATTGTTTGAGCCTGGCAGAGGAACCAACATCTGCAATGCAAAGAGTGAGGACATAAAATGAGGTCATTGATCAGTATTTACAAGTAACAATCGAATGTGGAAGACGTTCAAACTGTCATACCTTGTCGACCTTGATGACAGGCACGACATTCTCATCAAGTAAGCAGTCGACAATTTCTTGCCATCCGTTGTAGACTGGTAGAGTGTTTCCTCAAACAGAATGACACTAGAAATGTGTTCGCCAAGACCAGGAGTTGTCAGTAAGAGCTGCCTATACATCTGACGATTGTTCTCAGTGTTATCTAAGCCAATTGATGCCAGTCTCTTCCCACAAGTTGCATTCGATTCATCAATGGCAAGAATGCCACGTGCAGGAGAAGCAATAGATTTCTGCGAAGTTAAAATTCAGTATTTAAACATTAAACATGTAGAAGTATACTTGATCATGGAACATGATTAACTATCACATTGTCGATACAATAAAAACTTATGCAAACATATATAGGGGATGTATACATCTAGGTGCAACTCTCAAGATCAAATATCACCATCAAATTGATGATACAAGTAAAAAAAAAAAGATATACTTGGTATGTCAGTACTCGAGATCACAAGCACCACCACATATAACCAAACCTAACATAAAGTAACCTTTTAAAGGGGGAGGATCATGCTGTCTAATTCAATAAATGTATAATTCGTTTATTCGTTATCCCCACACCCCGGAAATCACAATCACGAGCATATTGGCTTGTTGGTACATTGTATAGTAAGTACATTTTTGAACTGCCTTAGGGAATCAAATTTCAGAATCCAAAATTCCAATACCCATTCCGAGCACCAAAAACTTATGGTCTGGTGTTCCAAGTGACATTCAACAACCAAACATAGGGACAATAATCTAGACTAGTACTAAAATTCCAGAGTAAGTTTAACAGAACACTGCTATTTCAATTGAACCTAAGCTAATTTTGACTAGTATTATATACTCCCTCTACTCCTTGTTGTTCCTGTTTAGATTTGGTCACAAGATTTCAAACAGGAACAACTTTTGGGAACAAAGGGAGTACTTGCGATTGCTACAAGCCATTGCAATACAAATTCACAGTTTCTAATTCAGGCAGTTTTAGTTGGCTAACCAATTAGATATCAGCTACACTAACAGAAAACAATCAAAACAAGATAAACTGCAATTCTTAATGTTTATTTCTTTTTACAATATGATCAAAAGCTTTCATTAAATGAATCCAATTTTCAGGACCAAATTTCCTATATTCTATCACATCCACCATTCATATCTTATATCTTCTATTAAAGATATAGAACAACTTAGACAAATGATCAGTCCAAAATACAACAAAAGTGAAAAACCAAACCATCAAGCTTAAGAAAACAAGCAACAAATGAGATAAAAGCATAGACAACATACAGCAGTGCTAACAAGCTCATCTTAGCTTAGTTAAGTATAGGGAATAAGAAAAAGGCAGAAGAATTTTTGAGAAACTAGTTGCACGCCACGCGATGCGCACCGCGTTTCAACGTCGTTATGCTTAAATGTAATATGATTTTTTAGTAATCGCTCCGTTAGGATGATTATGAGAGAATTAAAGATGATCCTGAATACATAAGCATATAATATGAAGGAGATAGTGATTGTGTAAGGCTAATTATAATTGTGTCATAATATGAATTTGCAAGCAGGATAATAAGATATAGCATGTAGGTAGCATAACAAGTAGCATAAAGATGCTAATATGTCTTTGTGTCACGGTCCGGGAGTTTGGACCCCAAAAACGTGCGGCGCGCTCTAGCCTTTTGGCGGCAAGAACGCTAGCCTTGAGCGGAAGAGGGGCTTGTGAGCACAAAGCAACACAAGCGGGCAATAGAATCTCAGGAGCACTCACGTCTATCTGGGCGACGGAGTGCGGGTGGTCGGGGCTTGTGACGGCCGATACTTCAAAGCGGGCACAAGCGGGTCCGAACCACGAGTCCTTAGCGCATCAAGTTGGGTTGGAGGGGAGCTAATATGCAAGTAAGACACAATATCTATAAAGGTCTAACAACAAACAAGCATAAAAGCAAGGCAACACTTGGTAGAAGGCTTTAAGATTTCATTAATCATTCGCCCTCTAAAGAGCTTTAAATGACATACAAGGAGAATCCCTAGTGAACACTGATCTGACAGTAACACAATAATGGGACCTCAAGCAAAGAAAACATAACCTAAACTCTAGGAAAGCACTTAAATGGAATCTAATACATCAAAAGGAGTTGGATTCTAACACTTTGACACGAAAATCTTTCTAGTTACTCATTTCACTATGATATTTTTCAAAAGACATTGAATCCTTATCATTAATCTTTGATTGAATAATCGAATGAACCTATAATTCATCCGGAATTTTGATCACAGCATAATTATAGCTTATACAAATAACATCAGAACAGACCCATCAGAATAGACTCATTCCTAAATTATGATCACAGCATAATAATAGCTTATACAAATATTATTATGACTTGTGCTAGATTCAGACCTTATCACAGACTAGAAAGGCATCACTTCTTTCCATCCACTCTAGAAGGCATGACAATTGAAAATCATGCTCACAATTTGTCAACATTCGAGGGTTTATACAACGCATTACTTTATAATAGAAAATCTAGTACCTTCAAGACAGATAAGACATGTATCCTTTCCTAAGGGACTAACTCATAAGCCTCAGTAGGTTTTGAAA